ATAGATAGATAGATAGATAGATAGATAGATAGATAGATAGATAGATAGATAGATAGATAGATAGATAGATAGACGGACAGACACACGCACACACCTGTCTTTGTTTACTTTAAATATCCCTTTAGACAAAACATGGTCAAGCGTGGTCAAAGGCCAGCACTGACCTTGTCTCGCTTCGTCTATGCTGCACTTGTCATCAATCAGACACACTAAGACCGAGGCATGGGCATGCAAACTCACACTCATGCACACAGAGTAGAAGTCCTTCAGTGAAACAATGCAAGCAAGCTCCGCTGTTCCACACCATTGCTTTTCCAACCCTCCATGTCTTAAGGACACTTTTATTCATCATAAAATAATGAAAAATATAGATTCGACGCCGCAGAGGGGGGAGAAGAAAAAGACAAAAAGTGAATGTATAGACAGAAAGCAAATAGAGCATGAAGGAGAGGAAATGTAGGGGAGGGTTGGATGTAAAAAAAAAAAAAAAAGGAAAAAAAAAGTGGAAAAAAGGCAGGGATGAGGAGAACGAGAGATGGGCTCTCTAAGTGCGCCTGCGTAGGCGCAGCTCTGAGAGTTCCCAGGCAGGACAGCATGAGCTGCCTATTTGTCAGCATTGATCAAGCCATTAAAGGGGCTACGGAGGGAAGCATATTGGTTTTGGAGGCCAAAAGGGCACTGAGAGACAAATACAAAGCAAGACGTGGACGGGGGAAGTGGGGTGTGTTGTTGTGGGGGCTTCTATCCCCTGCAGCCAGACGTCTGCCGGATGAATAAGCCCAACGTCTTCTTCCAAATGTTGAGGCAGCTTATTTTGTATCGGCCCAATGGGAAACCGCGAGAAATTGTTTCATTGAGGCTGGATTTACACTGCTAAATGCTTTAGTTTGATCTATTACCGGTATCTGATTTTTAACTCCCTTTCACACTGAATGCGTGGATGAAAGCTACACCCAAATGTCATATCTACAGAGGCACAACAGCAGCTTTGTGAAAGGCAATGGCACAAAACCAGGACCAAGGGTAAAACTTAAGCCGCGGCTGATGAGGCTACTTGTAAATTATTCAAATTCAAAATGGCCACCCAATGTGGCTTTTTCATGGCTTGACCTTTGGCTTTTGTGTGGCTCTTTCACAGCTGTGTGAAATGTACCAATGCAGGATAAGAGAGTTTAAGATGACACACTTATGTGCCAGCTTCTACCCTCCAGCCGTTTATCCACTGGTACATATGTAATTATAAAATATGGTTAAATACTGGTGTAAAATACAGTATATCTGTACTGTATGTACTGTATTTCCATGGCTTGACAACGCATGACTGTATCCCTTGCTTATCAGACAGACATGGATTCCTCAAGTGTGCCTCTGCGTTTGTGATTCTCCTGTGCATCTCTCACATCCTCCCGCTCATCATCAGATTTTTGGGATTGGCTGGTTTCAGCCGACCATCAGTGACTGGTTAACCTGAGCTGTTCCTTCAGCTCAAGTGTGGAAAGCGCGCGACTGATGTAGTAATTATTTTCAATGTTAACATGTTGAATGTTCATATGTAGATATTGGTATGATAACAATGTATCGCCAAGCCATAGCGGATACACATGTCAACATTTTGCAGTGATAAGACAGAAGTAAACAAAAATAAACAATAGAAATGTTTAATTTATGCCAGAGGTTGCGAAACTGCTGCTGGATGGCCCTGTTAGGGGTTCATGAGATCAATAGTGTAATAGTGGTGTGCTATAGTAATTATGCCTTTGCAACTTTGTTTTGAGATTTTTCTTTTTTTCCGTCCGTGGGCGAGATAGTGGGGGTGCACCAACTACAATCTGATCCGTGTTTTTACATTGCATTTACAAAGGCAAATATCAGATTTTGGGGGTATATCTGACATGATGTTTTTTGCCCTCTTTATGACCCATATATGAATTGCGGAACATGAAGGAACAAAAATTGGAACTTTGTCACTTGAACCATGTTGTGTAAATCCTTCTTTTAAAACAGTGCTGCGACACTAAAATCCTCATTATCCTGCTACCCCGGATAGACCAAATGAGACTCATCTTCATTTTGTGTGAGCAAAAGGGTTGGTGGTTGGTGGATGCTTGGCCCAAGGGGAAGGCAGGCTGCCTCTTTGCCCAGCCTCTGATGAATTCATATAATTAACTCAGCCTTGATCTGTTGGCTAATCCCGCACGCCGTAATAAAGGATTAAAATGTCACCTAAACCAGGGGCCCCCAACCGCCTTTGCCCAGCCTCTGATGAATTCATATAATTAACTCAGCCTTGATCTGTTGGCTAATCCCGCACGCCGTAATAAAGGATTAAAATGTCACCTAAACCACCTGCTGTTATTGAGCCCAAAGACTTTTTGTGCTGTTGTAAGAGAGAATGAGGGTGCAGGGGGGGGACAGATTCCTTAAAAAAGAAAAAATAAAGTGTACATTTTGCGAGGGGGCAATTTAAGAGGACTTAGCTGGTGCCATAAGCAGGTGCATGCTCGCAATGACTCAATAGTTGGCCCAGAAGTTGCAGTAACAGACTTTCTCGGAAAATTCCTGGTCAAAGTCAGTGAAAAGGGACAGGAAAGTAGGACATGCTGAAAGGTGTGGGAGTTTACTGAATCTTTCTTGCTCACTCTCGCTCTGACCTCCTTGGACCGAGCCGAGAAACAAAAAAGGAAAAAAGAAAGAAGTGCCAATTGGTTGGCAGACTGCCGGCGGACTGACGGGCCAGCTCGCTTCGTCTGCCTGCCGGGCACCCTCCGCTCTGTTGCCTAGCAACCCCAAGTGTACTTTTTGGTACGACTAATGACTTGCTTCAGGGTGGCGGGGCTCAAGGCCACTAATGAAGCTTCTTGCCCAATTGTTGCCGTTTAAAAGCCCCACAAGCTGACTGATCAGCAAGCGGAGAGATCTTAGGGACTTCAGGCTTTGCCCCTTATGCCAGACCAACTGTGACACTTCCGCATTTGAAGCAAGGACATAACATTTAATACTTACAATGCTACAACTGACCTACATTAGTCCTGATGCATGGCGGTTACATCCAAAAACAGTCTTTATCCAAGACACAAAGAAGAAACATTGGTAAGTAACATTCAGGCGTATACAGTGTTGGATAAAGCCTCTGAGTCCTAACCACTGAGCTTGTTTGGACTAACAGCAAAGCACATCTTTTCACCTTATGTTTAGGTTTGTTTTTTGAATCTTTTGAATACTACTTAACCCTGGATGACTAAGGCCTTTTTTGTGTGTATTGTGCATGTGATATGCCCACCAAGTACATACTTTGTCAAAAAGCATATGTATTCTTGTTTGTCCATCTATTGATAAAATTGAAAAAAAGTCATCTGAAGTGACCTCATTTGGGTAAGGAGGGAATACTTTCCAACCGCATTTTAATCATGTGCAATCAATGTACAACTTCAAATTGAATAAATTCAAAGTGCAGGTTTTTTTGTTTGTTTGTTTTTGTATGTGTGTATCTGCTATCCCGCAATGTAATGCAACTCGAAGGTGATTGGTGTCTTCTCAAATTGACTATTGGACCTTTACTACTGCAAACGGACGTCTTAGCGATACTCTCTACTTGCCTTGGTTGCATGTGATTTTTTTTTTCCACATCAAAATAGCAGAGAATTTATTTGAAAATATTTATTTGAGAGGAAACTAGAGTGAGGAAGAAAAGGGACTGGTGCACCAAAGTGTGGACTGTGCGTCAGCGTCCAGATCGAAAGCATAGCAACCGGATGTGTCTGCTTCATTTTCAAATCTGTTTCAAATCTGACAGGGGTTGTTATATGGCGGACTTTTAGCACTCACGAGTAACTGGTTTTCGCGAATCGTAATGTATAAACAGCAAGTCGAGCTGGACTCAGCTGACTTGGATGCTTATCAACTTTGAATGACGTTAATGTCATCGGAAGCATGTATAGCTGTTTATAAGTGCCTTCACGCCTTCATCTATGCATCGGGGCAATCCATTTTGTTCCAGTGTCGCAGCATATTGCCGGACGAGTACATTGTGTCCTCGGGTGTCTCTGTGTATTTGATGGTCTATACATGCCCACCAGACTTGGCTCTATTTTTAGCTCTACGGTCCTGGCTCATGTCAACTACTGTCAAGTGTTGCACTGCCTCGAGGCCAGACACCCACCGTGCTGCCCGAGTTGAGTGATCTGAGCGGGCAGCGCCTTGTGCTGTTCACATGTAGTTGCCGAGATGGGCCCACAAGTGACAAAAATCCCCTCACCAGAATATGATGCATGTGACCTGGATAAGCAAGGGACTGCAAGAAAAACTCCAGCTCAGGGAGGGACAAGCAGACCTTAAGTGCTTTTCTGCTTCCACATCCGAACTCTTGGGAGTGACTCAAGATGAAACGACAGACATGAGCACAAGAACAAATGGGAGGATTTTTCAAAGCGGTTGTTTTTCATCTTTGCACGGCCACATTTTCCCAAACGAAATGGATCTTCAAATGTTGTCTATTGATTTCTATGGTTAAATTTGTACGAGCGATCCATGAGGGGGTTGGGCTGACCAGAGTGGTGGCATACTGGCAGCGATTCAGGGCAGGAAGGAGGAACGGATGATGGCAGGGAATAGGGGGGATAGCTGAGGGTCAGGGACAAGCTGGTGACTGGGAGTCTGGAGCCGTGTGAGAACGGGAAGAGTGAGGGGCAGCATAGAAAGGACCTCTGCCTGGAGGTGTGGGAGTGGCTGATGTAATAGCATTAATCTCCGAGTGCCATCTGACACCCGGTGTGGCGCCGTCATTGAAAAGTGCGAACTCTGCTGAACTGTGAGGGGAATTCGGGCATCTCTGGAGGCGGCACCCTGCATTAATTAAACCCACTGGCTGGGATTTTTGTGTTGAGCTCACAAAGCACTCATTACACACCAGGGCCTACTATTCACATCTTCTTCAACCTCTTGATGAATTAAGTTAGCCCCGTTGTTGTACGCTAACCATACTTTCTTTTTTCTCTCTCCAGATGAATCGACCCATCCAGGTGAAGCCAGCAGACAGCGAAGGACGGGGAGGTAAATAACCAAAAAAAAAAACAACAATAGACCCACATCGCACAGTGGTACAAGCACAATCCTTAATATTCTCCTCTCACTTGAGACGCACTGGGAGTTAGCAGCGCGGTCCGTAATATAGGTCACTTGCTTCTATTGACTTCCCATCTGTGCCAGCAAAAAGGGGGCTGTCGCGGTTCACAGTCACTGCGAGCGGGTCAAAGACAAGTGAGAGGAACACGGCGGGAAGACGAAAGAGGATGGCGAGCAATAAGTAGACACTCTGAACCTTCTGCGTGAGGCTTCAAGGGAAAAAGAAGCCAAACAAACTCGGACAAAAAAAAAAAAAAAAAAAAAAAAAAAGAAAACCACTGAGTTTGACAAGATGAAGACGCTACCTTGAGATGTATTATTGAAGTGGGGGTTGGTGTGTTGAGGGAGGGCTGATCGCTTTGAATAAAATAGGAGATTAGATTTTGTCATTCCCTATTCCTTTTCCTACCGCAATTCTAAAAAAAACAATGATATCCCCCCCACCCCCATATAATGCCCTATTCTGAATCGCTAAGTTTCACCAGGTGCAATCAAGCAGCAATAAATGGGCCTTTTGGCACCCCCTTTACATGGTAAATGCTTGAAGTGATGATCAACTTTCATATCAGTGTGAAATCACACTGACCGGCAATGTGATTTATCTCACTAATTTAAAGAGTGACATGCTTTGTGACACACTTTCAAATATGTCGAGTGTGGTTTATTTTGTGATTATCGTGTTAGCATTTGATACGGCGTACTACTAACACACAGTCCGAATCAGATCTCTCAAAATTCTGTAAACTACATTCTGTGAACAATGGTCGTCACTTACCTACGCTAAAACAATGAATTTGTCACATACGTCGTAATGTTTTACTAACTGACACTAACACAGCTGTAAAAACATAATGACAGAACCTATTTATAGTGTTTTAAATATAAAAGCAAACAAATGGCCACTGCACCAACTAGTCCACCGGGTAATGCTTGTAACTTTGAAACATAGTATGTTGAGACCGTCTAAACACAGAAGCTTCCACATTTCTGCAGATGTGAATGACCTTAAAATTTATATGTGCATTCAAAGTTTAAATAATCACCTCATGAAAAAAAACACACACACACACACAAATCGTCTCACATTAAGTGCAATGTCAGAATAAGACATGATGGCAGGATGACTGACTGCATGAATTCCATGACTACCATCACAGGAGGTTAATGCAGATGAAGCCAGTTAAACGTGCACACTGGGTGGAATTGGCTCTAATTGAACCAGTCAGCGTCTGCTTGAATTTCTCGGTGGCGCTTCGGATGGGATCAAAGTGAGCCACATTGGTGATTTATCTGCCCCAAGTGTGAATCAGATGGCTCATTTCCATTGGTGTGCACACCCCCAAAGTCAGTCTTATTTTTGTCATGGTGGCACTTTTAATTAATGGACATCTAAAAACGGGCAAAGTCTGACCGACAAGGCTTGTGTGAGAGCCAATTGGCATTCTCACCAAGATATATTAGATCTCTAGGCTTAAGAGGGGAGGATGGATGCGTCCCAATATCAATTACTACTCCTCTTTCACCGAAAGGGAACGCAGACTAACAGGCAGTGTGAATGAAATACAGACGGCTCTTAGGCTGGCACAGCCGCCACTCGTCTGTTAGATGAAGTTTCTATATGGGAGGACAGGCTCGGCAACAGAACGGATTGAAATAAGACCAAGCAGACAGGCCCCAGCAGAGATATTGAGCTTTAATGGCAACAGGAAGTCGGCCGCCCAGCAAGGGAAGTAAACCACAGTCATGGCTGACAATGAAATGAGATTTACTATGAAGCTGTGCAGTTAAAGGGAAATAGACAGCTCGGGGTGACGAAGAGAAAGATGAGGAAGCACAGGATTCATTTGTGGAAGGACCGGTCAGGTATAATTACTCGTGGGAGACACTCAATTGTCCCTTGGGACATTTGCACTTCAGTAGGAAGTCACTTCCATCCTTCCATTTGGTGGGTGCAGAAGATCCTCTTTTGTGGAGGCTCTTCCTTGGAGACGTCTGATCGGGATGCATCCGGAGGAGAAGTAATGCTAAAAGGGCAGAAAACCAAGGCCTGGCTGCCATTGCAGACATTAGATGTATCCCAATAGAGGGATTGCATCCTCCCAAGGATATGCAATCAAAATTCACTGTAACTGTAAAATGTCAGGGTGGCACGATATATGCGACAGGCCCCAGCACGCCCGCGACCCTTGTGAGGATAAGCGGATAAGCAAATGGATGGATGGATGTAAAATGTGAGCCTCAAAAGTTTTAGCCACAACTTTTGAAGGTGTTTTCTCCAGAACACAGATAAAATGGGTCTTTGGAAGGGTCCCGCCACTGAAACCGGTCAGAACTAATGACTCATTTCTCATTTTTGTCTGTGGATTATTGATATAGAAAGAATCATGGAAGCAGCGCTTCATATATTCTTATAGCGTATAGTGCTCTTCTATCAATTTTCTTCTGATACGAATAAGTGAAGAATGGAATCTCTCCTCGCTCGCCCTGTTGACAGCCCATGGAACAGACAAGCTATACGTCTCCATTCAAAAGGCTTGGCAATTTGCTTCATTCCAAAATGGGGCAAGAATCAGAAAATGTCAATTCCTCTTTACACTCTGCCCCTCTCTCTCGCTATTGGCTTTCTTCTTATGCCATCTCATTGGTACGCCGATGCGAGGAGAAAGATGAAGAAAGCGATAGCGAGGCGTACCGGGCCCGTTGAGGAATTTGAGAGATAGAAGGCGGAATGAGCAAAAGGGCCAACGACAACAGGATGAAAAAGTTAACGGAGAGTGATAGAAGCAGCTGAGTGAATCTCAGTAGTAAATCATCTGCAAGCCGCCCCCATTCCCTATCTCCTCGCCCGGGAATGTTCTCCCTCTGACCTTGTCTGTGAAGAAAAGATTGGAGCCAGATTATCTATGATTGGAGATGCCCATTATCTAAACACAATCTCTGAGCCGGAGTCCCACTTCGTTCGCCACTACTGTCAGTTAGGAGAAAGCTCTATGATGACGGGTCAGCCGGCAACAGCATCTACTTTCGATAATGCCGATAAAGGTTCTGAAACGTCCATCAATATACATTTTTTTGTTCTCAGTGTGCTAACATCGCTGCTGTCTGTCTATCATTGTTCTACCTGTGGGCCTAATGTAATGAAGTGATTGAAATCCTGCCCAGTTCACTGTGCATGCCATTCATGACCAGCCGTGATTGACTGGTGATGAGTCAGAGGCGTCATCAACTCGACAAGGCTCCTCTTGTCATTGACACAATTTCCCCTGATGAAACGGCGAAGGCACTTATCTCGGGAAGCTTTTGTATTTTATACTCCATGGTCTTCACTTTGCTGATTTCTTGCTGTCCTTATTCTACTCTTTGGTTTCACGTTTCTTCTTTTTAAGTTGGTTATGACACGGGTTTGAACCGGAAAACCAATGCCTGGTACTACGCGATGAAAATGTGGCATAAGTCAACTGGAAAAGCCTTCCAGCCCCACCATAAACCTGAACAGGATGAGCGGTATAGAAAACGGATGGATGTTTGTCCTCGTTGTTTATTAGCTCCCCCATCCTTTGGCTTTATTGGATGCTTAGACAATGCCGGGAGCATGGCGGCTCCTGAATTCTGTCCCCAGTGGTGCGAGTGTGAGTCGTTTGAATATTTCCATGCCTTTTGGTCTGTCTATCCGGATGGGAGTTTCTGTGAACGGTTCACGTTTGTCCTTGCCATCCTGTTCTTCAGAAGAATGACCCCAGACGGGACAGTCTGCAGATTGACAGGACCTTAAGATGTCGCGCAGTGTGCTGTCATAGCCAAGCCCAGCAGGCATGGGATAAGTGAGGGCCTGCTGGCTGGCGCAGTCTGGCAGGCCACACGGGAGCGGCTGTCTTTAGGCACCTCATGCCGTCAGAGGACTGTGTTCCACTTTACATGCAAATGAAGCCAAAATATCCCTCTGTGCCCCGAAACTACCGCCCAGCAAAAACTCTACTGCGGTGGACAGTTTTGCGCATGAGCAAAACAAATCAGGGATTGCAGGACATCAATTAAAGGTTTGTTTAACATTTATTGATGTAGCTTTGGGCGAGAGCACTGGAACAAAAAAAAAAAAATGCAACAGGCAGTTCTTCCTCGGTTTCCCCCAACTGTTTTGCATGCAGTCCAGAGGGCTTCAGGCACCCGACAGTATACGAGCGTGTCAGCTCGAGTTGTAAGAGTTACGCATTTACATGTAAACAACCTGTTGTTGCATCAGAACACTGACAATTGATATGTTTGTTTTCATCCCATTTCCATTCTGTGTCCACAATGAAACGCCAGAGCACTCAGCAGGATGTTACTCTCATTGCGCTTATATTCAACCAATTAATTTCAATACTGCAGTTGAATCAGGCATTTAATAACATCTTATATGCATTCAACTCCTGGCAAGTTGGCAAAGGAACAACATTCAACAAGAGGGATTCACAACTCCATCAAGCGTGAATAATTATGAAAATGAAAAATAATGATTCCCTCCAATGGAAAGGTTTCATTTGGCTTGATGTGTTCCGAGGCTGCTATTCCCATCTAACAACCTCATTGACTAGAACACCTCTAGAGAAATGTATCTGGAAGATTGCTCATTCAAGAAAGCAACCATCGCAACATCGAATTTTTAAAAATTAGTTGTGACCTTCAGATCGACTAGATGCTAGTCAACATCCAATTTATGTCAATTTAGTCCGTTTTTTTCCCCCATAGAAAATAATGGAAAGTGTTGTAAGCAACAATTTAACATTGAGAACCGTGACACAAGTATAAAAAGGAGGGAAGTGACGGATAAAATAACTCAAATAAAAAACTGAAGTTTTGATAATGCGCGACAGGCTTTAAGGAAAGTGCAGGTTGCTGAATTCAAACTTTCACGGTATTAGTTTTTAATGTACGAGTGAATTGCTTCGGAGGGGAATCTCGAAATGAAAACATGACTGACACAATCCATTACTTTTGCTTATTGATAATGACTAAGCAGCTAGGACAGAGTTTTAATCATAGTTTTTGTTCATCTCCATCATTGGTAAACTTTTGTGGTGGCATCACACACACATACACACATTCGCACATTGACACACAAATCTCCCCCCAAAGAAAGTAGCCTTCAAAATCCCTTTGAGGCTCACTCATCCGAAGTCTCACGAGGTATGCTGAAGTCTCGTGGGCTTTGCTCAAGGTTTGAGATACTCCTCATGCATGACGACAGTTCAACTTTGAAAGTTTTGTGAGGAACTTTTTGGAGTCGTAGTCAAAACCATCACTCCCATTTTCAAAAAAAAATCTGAATTTGCCAAGGATCTTATGAAACACAGTAACTAATACGTTATTCACATCATATAGATGAAGCCCGGCCTCAGATCAGAACAAACCTCCATTGATGAACTCACCACAAATATAAATGCCTTTAGACAGTTTAAACCGTAAATAAAACATAACCTATGATCCCCACAAAAGCAAATAGCACTTCAAGATCATCTTGTGTTGCCCTTAAAAAAGGAGAGCTTACATCTGCGTAAGCATTTTCATAAGCACTCAGCAGAGTAAAACAAGACTCTCTATTTATATTTATATTTCAGAAAGCACGCTATTTTAGAGTGTTTTTATCTTCCATTGAAAAAGATTAATAACACTGAACAAAAGTTCAGTTGAAGGCTTTTTCTTTTTCACGACGTGGAAGTGGATGGAATGCTCATTACGCCCCCAAGCCTCAAAATGGATTCGACCAAAAAGCAAATGGCGCGATTTACTTCCAAACGGATTCCCATAACTATCACGCAATTGGGACACTGAGTAGATGATGCGAAACAAAGCCCAACACAAAGCAAAAAAAAACCCTCACACTTTTTAACATTTTATCGAGCCATTCTGTGTACCTTCATGAGCGAGCGTGTCCAGTGGCAAGCCTCGCAAGCACATCGAAAAAAAAAATGTATTCAATAAATAAATAAAGAAAAATCATGCTTTGCTAATGAGTCCATAAGAAGTGCAACTTCTCTGTTTGTGCTGCCTGGGACATTACGCCGCATCTGAAATGCACCCGGCGGCCTGGTAGGCATCTTTTATTGTTGGGTGCACCTGTCCATGCTTTGTGAGCACTTGCTACTACCAAGCCTCCTCTGACAATAGCCAGCAGGCATGATGGGATGGAATGGTGAAAACAAAAGATATTTACCACGGCACAGGAGCGGCAAAGTCATTCTTTAAAAAAACAAACAAAAAAAAAAAAACATGATTACCAAAGAAACACAATTGAAATAGAAGCTTTATAGCAACTAATTATTTGGCTAGAGACAGAAAAGAAAGTCAAGGATGGCAATACAGGAGAAAGAGAATGACATGATGCGAGTGGAGCGTTATGTTGAGAGAAGCATCAATCTTGGGAGCACATGGCTCGTGTGAAAAATCTATTAGTTTTTAATATACCACGGGGATGGAATGATGGAATCCCTGCGGTACGGAATGACAAGGCATCCTGGAGACAAGCGACTGTCGGATGACTGTCGTATCCTGGTAACTTTTCTGATCTCCATTTGTATGCGCATAGCTTAGGGGAGACATTGCAGCAGTCGGTCACTATTTATAAGAGTTCCCAGGTGTCTTCATAACATGTCTGACTTTCATCAAAATACTTCACAGATTAGGACAGATATAATTCTGCTTGGCTTTACCCTATTCAGCGGTCATACAGCAAATCAAAGACCTCGCCATGTCTTGTCCAACTCGCTGCAAGTCTTCGCTCGCTCACCACAACAATAGATCTCCTCTTTGCCTTCTACCTGGCGACTCCATTTCTCGCATCCTTCTACCGATATGCCCTCTTTCGTTCCTATGCACGTCTTAAGCATCCATATTTGGCCTCTCATGCTTTGTCTCCAAACCTTCCAATCCGTGCCGTCCCTCTGATGAGCTCATCCCTCATCTTGTCCATCCCCGTCACTCCCAAAGAGAATCTCCTCATCTTCAACTCTGCCACCGCAGCTCCTTCTTTTGCGTTCTGGTTATTGCTACCGTCTCCGAACCATGCAATACGGCCGGTCTTCCTACCATCCTCGTTGTACACCTCTACATATACATTGAACCCAAGGTGTTTGTGTTTTCTCAGTGTTTTTATTTTTTAATCATTCCATGTTGCTTCTATATGAACGTCCTCTTAATGCAAATATACGAGCGCACTTAAGGGCTCTTTGTTTTTTCGTACCTCTTCACTTTGAATGGATTGCGTTCTGAAGTCGCGGTGTCATCCCCTTACACAGAGGGTGCGTTACATGATATTCATATTCATAAAACGCCAATTTCAAGTGTGCAAGTGGCCATGGGAGATGTGGTTGTGTGGGGGGGAGGGGGGGTGAACTTGTAAAAATCCAACGCGAGCAGCTTCGGAGACAGGTGCAAAGAGGACTAATTAATAGCAATCAATACTCGGGGCCAGGGCAGGCGGCTGGCCGGCGGAGACTCTCTCAGGTCAGGCAATGAAAAGATAGCAAGCACCAAATTCATTCTGCTCTCCCGGAGGACGGCACTGAAGTACACTCACACTTCCTTTAATGCCGTCGCAGGGGTGTCATTTATTTTTGCGTTTGCCAGCACATTTGGAAAGTTCATTACCTCGCTCATGGCTTGTTAATTAGCCTTGTAAAGCCACCATTAGATCTCCTCGGGCCAGGACCAAGATGAGACTTTTTTTTTTTTTTTTTTGGTCCCACAACATTAACACACAGTAGGGGGGCCTGTAAAACTGCACTCTGCCCATTTAACAGGGACCCCTCAGTGGAAATCTGAAAGATAGAGGGGCCTTCACGACAAATTAGGTCACATGTGCTCTGGACAGGCTGTGGCCTTCCTTCACTTGTTCCTCTTCACTTCCTTGAACAGAGGTCAGCTTAATTTCCCCTAGCACATGTTCAAGCTGAATGTCCAGGGGTAAACATTTGACTACATTTCCTTGATCGACTCAAATTTAAAAGGGACATTTTATGGAAAATTAACTTTTTAATTGCTTTTATAAACATAGTTCTCTGGAGTGCATTCCCAACCCTCAAGTGTGAATTTAAACAATTTCTGTCCGTTTGCGAGCTTTTTTCCATTTTCGTCGCACTGTAAAACAAGAGTGGGGCTAGTTTTCACCGCCCCCACACATGGTTTCTCTTCCCATGACCTGTTCATGGGAGTGAATATCCAAAGCCACTTTCGACAAACAGTAAACACGCTCATGTAAAAACTTCAACATCCCTGAAAGGGGCGATGCCCCCTTTATTCCATCAAAACTAAACAATAAACATAAAGGAGTTTATGACGTGCTGCAGTATGAAATTGTTTACCCTGACCCCCAAGCTGCACCTCAGTCGTCACTGTAATTTTTTTTTTTTTTTTTTTTTACTGCTTTCAAAAATAAAAAATCAACTTTTCGCATATATTTTCACTCGATAAAAAGACCCTTGCGATGCAATCCACGTCGAGAAAAACCCAGCAAGACACCAGGATTACAGCTGCAGCGGCAGAGCCCAGGGCACCGAAGCCTTATTGATTATGCAGGTGGTCATTTGTGTGGCCAAGCGGGTAGTCCGCACGTGTCTCATTTGAACTTTACAGAGATGGAACAGGATCCGATTTCCCCGCCGCAATGGAGGCGGCGGCCCCCGCTGCTTTATTTTTAGACCGGATGCATCTAATGGGGCTTGGCAGGTACAGGAGGCGTCACATCTGTTGAAGCCCAGGTGATGCTCTCGCCATCCTCACCTCCCCGCCACCGCCACACCTCCACGCTCCACACCAGTCAAATGACTCACGTGGAAGATCAACAGTGTCATTTCCAATCAAGTTCTCTTCCTCTCGCTGCCACTTTCTATCAGAGCAGAGGACGGGCTCTTGTTTGTAACCATTTTACTCCACAACACATGCTGAATTGGATATGAATAATGGAAAAGATGTAAAATAAGATGAATGCTCTGTCTATACCAGGAGGATAGATTGGGAGAATTCATCTTTTCGATACTGTCCAAAATGAGAGCGGAGTGCAACTTTTACTTTGCTCTTGAAAAGAGCACATTTATTAACAAGTTGGATTCAATTTAAAATGTAGTTTGCTTTTTACTTAAAAAAAACAAAAAAAACAGATGCATCGCTTTGCTTGTGATCAATGTAATTCTTAGAAAAAAAATGAATAGACTCAGGACGTGCTCACAGAACAGACTCTCTCTTCGACTTAATGCTATTGTTATGAACTGTGCTCATAATTATCTGCAATAACAAAAGAACAATATTCATCATTCCCGTACAGCCCCCTGCAAATTCCAATAGCGCAGTGATTATCCCTTCTTGCACTCTAATTGACTTGTTTCATTTGTTGGTGAGAACTTTTCCAAAGTTGCCACTTGTCCACGAAGTTCTCTATTTGCGGATTGTAATTGCTCAATCTGATCATACTATGTTGATCAAAATATTATTCGGGGAGCATTCAAAATTAAATTCATATTGCAGGGCTCCAGACAATTTTATTTTTAATTTTTTTTACTCACTAGGAGCACAGTGGGCCCGAACCAGAAATGTTAAGGGTTTAAGTAGAAAGCAGTGTTTCACGGTCACATCATGGCTCAGCAGAACGCTACCATCAGCTGCTGTTTTTCCCCCTCTCCTGCTGATCCAGAAGACAGGAAGCTGTTTGTGGGGATGCTCGGCAAGCAGCAGAGCGAGGATGACGTCCGGCGGCTCTTCGAGACCTTTGGCCAGATCGAGGAGTGCACCGTCCTGCGGGGTCCTGATGGGGCCAGTAAGGGTCAGAGCGCACACACGCACGCACGCACGCACACACACACACACACACACACACACACACACACACACACACACACACACACACACACACACACACACACTCATACGGTCCCTTGTCATTCCTTTTGCGTGTCCAGCTTCGCTTCAGCCGCCTCCGCTCAAGCATCCTTGAGGGAGCACAACTCGACGGTCGCTCGCTCGCTCGCTGTCACGGTGCTCCAACACTTCCTTCCTTTTCCCCGCTTTGCCATTTACACTGGCGTCTTATTTCTTATGTAGCAGCTCATCTCCCTCCTCCCACACCTGTTATCTGAAACACGGCATGTTTGTTCCCCGCATCGCCATCATCCCTCCCCTGACGATCATTATGTCATACAGTAAATAAAAAATAAAGCAGCCAGGCTCGTAGTTTAGCTGCGGTCACTCTCAGTAGAGGAGAAAACATGTTCACGGCTTATTACATGAAAATACAAAGTAGGCTTATATCGGCTTGTTTCTTAATTTTCTCCGAAGACGACCACGCATGTTGAAATGCTCAAATAAATATTTGCTACCCTTGACAACTTGCCAAACCAAAATGAAGTGCACTGCACTACCAGCGCAAGGGGCTCGATAAGCATCTGTAAGCTGTGACACGTCCATCTAGACGACGATGTGCGTGACGGCAAAGCGCGGCGAGATAATGCATGCGTCCTCTTGTTAAATCAATGAGAGAGGCTCACTCGTATCGAACCGCGGGCCTTTCAGCATCTACATGGCTTGCTTTCACTGGGATTAACCAGCTCTTTCTCGTTGTGTCCCCCGCCGCATTCGTCCACTCCCTCCCCCCCTCCCCCAACTGCTTGCTTCCACTCTTTTCATGCCCCCTCCCTTTCTCCTTCCTGTCTGCTCAGATGCCTCGGGCTGATTGACAGCACATAAAATGAAATCGGGCCGGTGCCGGCGTGTTCGACAGGAGCTATACTTTCGCTCCTTTTCACCCTCCTCGCGCCTTCCTCTCTCTCTTTGTGCGCCATATGTTTCCTCAAGTGGCATTCGTCTCTCACTCGTTACCTCTCTCACACTTCTTCTTTACCTCCCCCCATCGCCTTCCACTGCGACAAAATCAAGGAACATTAGCGAGGATGGTGTAAACTCGAAATGTCGAATGCCCCAAAGTCATTCAAAAGTTCAGCTCACATTTTCGGGAAAAACATGTCTCAAAAGTTGGACGAAAATTTGAATGAGACATCGACAAATGTAGGGAGACACTGAGCATCAACAGGATTATCTCCTAAAGTGGGTTTTGAGATGAACTGCGTGATAACCATAGAAGCTGACATGCCCCTTTTTTGCAATGTAGCTCCAGAGTGGAAGCAAAGAGTGGACAAGTCCCGGCTGCTCATGACAATAAAGCCATCATCATTCATTCAAGAAAAACAGAATAGTTTACACTGCAAACAGATCCATTTGCTCTTGAGCACTTGAATATTTTCCCCGTCCTTCAGCTCAGTGAACAGCCGAGACATTTTCAGACGACCCCTTCACTTTATTTGCCAACGAATACCCTCATACACATTTTGAAATCATCAACCACCGTGAAAACTGAAAATCAAAGGAGACAGAATTTCTTCCAAGATCTGGACAAAATACAGTGAAGAAAAGCAAGGTCTTTTTTAGCGCACAAAGAAAATTACCTTGCTGCGCTTGCCAAGAGAGAAAATTTCGAGACTCTAGCTTGGTTTCTTCTTTCGGAAGCTTTCGTCTGTCCTGGATATTGTCTTAAGATTCAGAATTTAGGTTTCTGTGCTTTGTGTCTTGAAACTCCTCTTTTCAAGTCTCAGAGATCACTCGTTAGTCCCTGGGACCTCTCAGCCCAATTCAATGCAGCATCACTTTCAAAGCTTTGCAACACGGAGACATTTCATTTACAAATAATTCCGACTAGAAGTTTGTTTCATAATTCGAACAAGAAGGGGGACGGGGGACAGGCTTCTCAGAACATATCATGTTCAGCTATTAAGTTTAAAAACTGTCTACTTGTGTCCCGTCCTGTTTCTCGCGGTTCCGCACATTCATTATAAACGCAACTTATTTTACCCAAGCAGCAACAAGCTCCGGACCTTGTGCGATTCGAATGAGGCTGACCTTGAAATTAACTGCGCCATCTTCTCCACGATACGGGCCCGACTGCCATGTTGATCTAAACGCGTGCTACTCGGAAGCCTTTCAGCAGCCCCCTCGTCACAAGTTTCACACCCACCCCACATTCGCCACCCCATCGATTCTCTAAACTACTTTCGGCGTTTGCCGCCAGAGTTGAATAGAGCCCTGAGTTGTCAGGAATAATAGAGAGATGGCTTTTAGCTCTATAATTAAGTTGTGTTATAAATGTCACCCATCCAGCCAGATGGAATTCATGCATACATATTACTATCCAGGGAATTCAAAAGGCAGTGGCGAGATCCCCTCACTTGAAAGCAATACAATCTCTCTCCTCGCCGCGTTCGCCCCAAGTCATTCGGAGATGTCAAATTGGGAAGGAAAAAAAAAAAAAAAAAAACTCAAGGCGTGTGCTATAATTCATGAGGCTCTGGCACTTCCATTTAATTGGAGATGTTTTTGCAATGCGTTACCCTTTCTTCCTGGGCTGCACATACGGACTCAAGTCCAAGCGAGTGGATGTTTGATATTGAGAACTTGAGAATGTGAGTGGGAACCTTTTTCTTTTCAGTTCCATGGGGGATATGCTACATTCATGGAAAAAAAATGGCGATTCAACCAAGCAGTATTGTATTCCAGTGGTTAGCGCGTCTGCCTCAAAGTTGAGGGGTCCCACGGCTGAATCTCCGCACAGGCTTGAGTTGATTATAACTCAGTTCATTTGAAGGGTTGTTTGTCTCAATGGTATATGTACCCTTCCGTTGTTGTCTCAACTCAGCTTGGCTAGGCTCCATCACAACCACAACCCTAATGTGGACTACCGATGGATATCATACAAGTATAATAATCGACCTCTAATAAAAATGAACATGCTAAAATGTAATACATGCACATAACACTCTTTGATCACAAGCAGCAAGCATATGGCAGCTAACGAGCTAGCATCGACACACACATGGGCTCAGATGAACCACAATTGTCGGCGACCAAAGTCCTGCCAAGTAACACTTTAGTAAAAAGCAGTTCTGAACAACTTGATCACGGGGTCGTTCTGGCGAAAGCCTGGCACAGACGTTCAATTAGGACACCTGCAAACTGGACAAGCTTCTTTGTGCATGTTCTCTTACCATTTCAAGCAGAAGCAAAACAAATATGTTGTACCAAAATGTCACTCAAAACTGCAAAACTGTTGGGACATTTGAGCTTCAAAGATGCACTGTACACCGAGTCCTCGGTTTGCAACTGTCCCAACACACGTCGTTTTGAGGATACAGATGTTGTTCAATGAATGAAGTTTCCGCTGCATTACACGTGTTTTAGGTTTAAGTGTTTAGGTTTGTGAAACTGGTCGTCGACAGCGCATTCTTACATGCAAAATGTCAGAATAACAAAAATGTCAAAAAACTGAGGACCGCCTGAATCTGTCTCTAACAATTGCATGGTCGGCCAGATCAAATATTCTGTCGGACCATACATTGTATCCTCCAGATGCTCACTAGCATTGTGGTCCACTCTACGACCCCTGGTTGGAGAAAGAACCAGTCTATAAAACCAAAGGTTTCCTGAAAGAACACACTGAACCTAATAATTTTCCTCCAAAAGGTCAAATGTGTTTGTTCTTTCAAAGGCAGACTCCAAGTCACGTCTTTCAGTCAAATAAATGAAGACCCTTCCTGCCTCCAACCCCCCGAGAGCTCTTCCAGTGAAGTAAAAAGGCCGGGGAGAGAATCAAAGTGTTCTTTGACGTTTACAGTTCCCCTCTGTAGATCCATTAAGCTTTAAGGACATTTGACACAACAACAAAACACGCTTGAATGTCTCCACACAAAACGGTTTACGCTGCTTTTGTAGTGAATGGAAAGCCTCAGGTGAAAGTGGATTTGGTCTTCTCTTGATTGGGGGACACAGCGCAAGAGTCCCCAAGTTATGAAACCTTGGATTTGGAAAAGTTACCTTCAAAGTCAGAAAAATAACTACTTCCAAAAGTTGAACACGATACATTCTAGGGATGCTGACCTACCTCAAATGTGTGCGCATTTAAAAAGATCCATCCCGCCATCCATTTTCTCGAGCATTTATCCTCTTTAGGGTCATGGATAAGCTGGAACCAATCCCAGATGACTTCAGGCAGGAGGCGGTGCAAAACGCTCACCACTCTACGGCATTGCTGCCCCCAGTGTACATTATGTTCTTCCTTTTTGATTCATTGTCGCTTTTGTCATATTGGACTGAGCAGCGACAAGAGACTTTACTACATTGCCATAAATTGCATTTCTGGTTCTACGGTTACCGTTGCATTTGTTCCTTTCTGGTGCACTTCTGTGGTGGCATAAAAATATGAGAGGGAAAAAAAAAATTGAGTAAACCCTTTAGCTGCTCACCGAGCTGACATCTCGCATGATTTGATTATGTCTCATGTGATACACATGACAGTTTGACTAGATTTAGCTTTTTAGAAGTTTTTTTTTTTTGTTTTTGTTTTTTTAATAGTCACATTTGGCCAATTGAATTATTGGATATTTCCCGCTATCCGTTTTCCACAAAGTAAAATATATTCTTATTATGGTTGCAGTTTAGCTGGAGCATATACAAGCTGACTTTGGAATGGGGTACACCCTGGATTGGTTACCAGCCCACTGCAAGTCACATATAGAGAAACAACTATTCATACTCACATCCACAACTATGGCCAATTTAGAGTCTTCAATGAAGCAGCCATGCATTTTTTTGGGGAATGTGGGAGAACCCAGAAAGTAATTTCCTCAGAGGGGAACTTCATTCTTTGATGGTTTCCTTGACTTTTGACTCATCTGTAATGCCTCCTCTAGTTTACCAGTGGACAGTAATTACCCAAGTACAGTATTCCAGTCGAAATCAAAGGCCCACAGCCAAAACCACAGTAAAATCATCTGCTAACTTGAATACAAAACTATTTCAAATCCGCTTTCCCAACATTTCCCCAGTGCTCGGCTCAGGAAACGCGTGCCGTTCGGTGAGCACTGCTGTTGCTCGATTAATGAAAAGCAGCTGAATAAATCCGCAAGGTTGTTAATTAGATAGCCTTCTAAAGTTAAAACATGAGCGACCTGAGGCCAAGGATAAAAATAGGATAGAACAGAGTAGTCAATGATGGTAAAGCTGATTAATTCAAATGCCGTTTGCAAATGAATTACCATTCACTTCCGTTTTAGTGCACCGTGGTGCAGTGGTGTAGTCCTGCATCTGTCCGTGCTTTAGGACAGGCATATTCAGGTCGAAATGTGCCAAAAGCTGTAAAACTTTGGGATTTGACCAATCCATTGATGTCATCACATCATGTGAGCTGCAAGTGTATCTTGACCTCAAATTTTAATGCTGTTTCTCCTTTTCTTTTGGTAGTCTGTAACGTACTCTTCTCATTCCCATTCACATTGTTATTCTATTGGACTTGCGAGGAATCTCGGCTGGTGGGGTCGAGCAGCTTTTTGTGAACGTACATCACCAAACACACACTCGCTGATAATGTTGCGACACAACGCTAATCTGTGCACTGAACAACAGTGCAGGCCAGTTTCGTTTTGACATGATTGTGGCCATCACTTGAAAATGGCAGAGCTTCACCCAGCCTAGCCTCAAAGTCATGGCCATAACAGTGAGGCTAATTTCACCAGATATCGTTGTTCCTAGCCCGTATCCACTGGAACATTAAAGGGAAGCAAAACTGCTCAGAATCGTGTTGGATACACAAGATTATAGTTAGCTAACAATGTTCACCTCTAATAAGAATACTTTATACTTCGTTGAAGTTCTCAGAGCAATGGGTGACAGCTGTAAAACTGAAATTAAAACTTTCTTGGGGGGCACTCCCTTTTTTATCACCAACCCCTGTCATCGCGGTAAACAGGATATGGATCGGTATATAGAGTTGTGCACTTACACGGGACAGCGTGTGCTTTAAATCTTGACTCTATTGGGTATTTTTGACAAAAATATCTTGGAAAAAGCTGAACATTTTTTTAAATTGTGAAGAATGTTTTTCTCAATGTCCTCTCTGAACATTGCCTGCACAGTAAATAAGGTGTTATGATGGCATCAGGTTGGACTCTCTGACAAATTATTCCGAACACAGTTGATCTCAGTGGGAATTTGTGGGGGGATAAAAAGTCCACAAAAACTTTGAGGCAACACTTGATCTTGCGGCTTACAGATCTAAACAACCAAGTTGAATTAATATTATCCACTTGAATCACTTTTAATATCGTTTGAAACGTTAATCCAGCAAAGCTTCACGACCCTGCTGCTGATGCTTACTTCTCATGTTCTGGCCAACTTCTCATGTTGACTCTTCCTTCCTGAGCCTTAGCCACACAACAGATTTAAGATGATTTCAATGTCCTTCGAGGCAAAAAAAAAAAAAAGCCATCCCTTCCCAGATTGCCTCCTTCGCCACCACCGCCAACGTCTTAAATTTGAAGCGAGCGACGATTCCGCCGGATAGGCCGATTATAAGACCGCGCTATTGTCGTGCTAATCTCCTTTATGAGTGACTGCACACAAATCACAATGTGTAAATATTAAACAGATTAATATTCACAAACAAGTCTGTGGAATTAGCGCTGCCGGGGCGAGGGACGGGATGTTCCAGGCCGCTAATGCCTTTAGCGACGATCCCAACACACAAGTGACCAGAATATATTTATAGATCAGATAACGTGAAGACAATAGCTGGTTTTTTTTTTCTTTTTTTTTTTTTTACTTGATAAATCCAAGGCCATCTGCCTGATGTTGTTTCGCCTTTCTTTGTGTGTGTGTTTACAGGCTGTGCATTTGTCAAATTCTCCAGCCACGGAGAAGCACAGGCTGCCATCAACAGCTTGCACGGTGGACAGACCATGCCTGTAAGTAACACAGTCTCCCAATACACAAATAACAGAATTAGCATTTAATATCAATGCTAATTCTTTCGTTTTACATATATATATATAGTATTTTCAGTATTTTAAAATAATGGCCACAATTATTCATATACTCTCTCAATATGGCAACATCCAACGCTACAAATCATTGTTATATTTGATTATTTATTTTTTATGATGCCAGAAATGAGCAATATTCCTTACATTGATGAGAAAAAATTCCCTGCTCCCCCGGAAAAAAAAAAAAAAATCCTTAGAGTCTTGTCACTTTGTTTTATTTTCCATCCAAAGAATAATATTTAGCCGGGATACAAGTAATTTGCAGCTCATCTGCATATATTTAATAATAGTTAATTTTGTTCCATAAAACAATCATGTCCCAATACTGCAATCAGATCACTGTCTTTTTCATGACATTGAATATATGGTGACCAAATGTCATCAAAATGGAAGTGATACCATTTTTGACCAAGGTGGAGTGCTCAAGAACCGTTACAAACATCAAATTTTAATGTCGGCCAAATTCAATTGTCATTCGCTACTCAGGCCTTTCATATTGCGTGAAATGCTCACCTTTCCTTCAGAGAGTTGCGGTAAGTGTCCTGGGGGAATATTGTGTGTGTGTGTGTTCACATCGATTGTGAAGGCAGACAAATCGAGAACCAGAGGCGGGTCGGTCCCCTTGGCGGGGAGCCACTCCTGTTGGCTCCCTGTATAAAATTGCTCTTGGCAGGCAGCAGTGGCATCCATCAGACATAAAGTGACCCAGCCCAGCAAAGACGACATGAGTGAAAAACGGTGGATAAATCAGAAGCTTTGGGAGACTTTTTGCTCATCTTTGGTTGACACATTCAAACACACAATAACTAGACAAGCCCAATTTGGGGGAAAGAGCTGAAAGAAAGTGTTTGGAAAAGCCGAGTGGGAAGGTGATGAGACAAAGGGTTGTGTGTTATAAACCGAGCTAGAAAAGTATCCTTTTGATGTCATAAAGTCCTCTTTGCTCTTTTTATGAAGAAAAAAAAAATATATTTTTTTCACTAATGAAGGGTTCGGTGAACGTGCATATGAACTGGTCGGGTTCGGTACCTCGAACAAAGTTAAGAACCACTGAATTAGATCGTCAGGGCACAATTCAATTCCATTTAATGATCCCTTAATTTCTCGAAAATAAATACATGTTGTTGGCAAACAACTATGCAGCAAGTTCAAATGCAAACACATTCCGTGGTAATACATAACTTCAACCTACGGGATGAATAGTTTTTCAAAGTCCAAATACATAAGAGGTCAACTAACTTGCAAGCTAAACAAGTAACGTGTTGAAGTCAGTCATAGGATAAACGTACTTTCAATCAAGATAAACTTTCTTTTCTTTGTTTTTCCCCCCTCATGAAGGAATGTTAAGTTCCGGTAAAACGACAACATCCATGCTAATCTTTACTGTAAACGGGCACCATTGAAAGTTTGAAGCCTTTCAAACAGGACTGGTGAAAAAAAAAAACAAACGGTGACTTATAAAGAAAGGATTCTGCAGTGTATATATAATACATCATTAAAGCAAATGTTCTCGACACAGACTGATATAGACTGTCATTGCTTGGACCTAAAATATACAATCTACAGACATGCTGCAGACATTTTTCACTGTTATCGCAGACAAAAGATCCCAAGAGTCAGCATCGGCCTCCTTAAAGTGCACGGCTCCTTTCATTTCTTTGCACTTTATCCGTTCTTTCTGAATCGATTCAACCGCGCTTCTCAGCACACAGATCGCCTTTCCATTCGAGTCTTACAGAAGATACGATGACTGCGCACGCGCCACGCGCATCCTTAAATGTGTCCCCGGGAGACATTGTGCCGCAAATGTCTTATACGGGATGTTATTTACGAGTAACGGTTCAATCAGCGGTCAAAGAATGATGCAGAGGCGAATGTGAAACGGTTCTTACATAATTCATGCAAATGACAAAGATGAGACTTTGATCGGAGGGAAGTTGAAGAAGACTTGGTGGAAGAAATGTGTGTGTGTGTGTGTGTGTGTGTGTGTGTGTGTGTGCTCTCTCTCTCTCTCTCTCTATATATATATATATATACACACACACACACAGTGTAGTATAATGTATATATATATATATATATATGTGTGTGTGTGTGTGTGTGTGTGTGTGTGTGTGTGTGTGTGTGTGTGTGTGTGTGTGTGTGTGTGTGTGTGGCATTTTAACAACTGAGTGTTTTCTTTCAATTTGTTTGATTGTGATGCTTCAAAACACGAGACAAAATGCTCTTTAGAAATGACAGCAATACTTTAGTGAAAAAACAAAAAAGCAATGCGTTAATAATATGAAACACAGTATGAATGAGCCTCGATCATCACCACTTCAAAGTGCAACTAAATCACATTGTTAGGACTGCTATGTCTATGAAATCTTGAGTGGAAATGCTCACGTCAGTTCAACCTTAAACGAAATATGCTGCTTAACCTTTCGTGGGATTTAGTACTTAATTGTCACAAGGGCTTGTTGATCTACAAAGTGCAAAGCGCGATGATGGCGTGCGTGTGGGAGGAAAGAGAAAACACTGCGCGTGAGAGCGCACGTAAGTATTCTCTTATCACAAGGAGATAGGACTGTTTTGGCATGCAGGCTAAGAGGCCTCAGTCATAAGATGAACGCCTCTCTTCACCTCCTCTTGAAAATGTAAATGAGTGTATAATTTGGGGCTTTGGGTTGGACAATGTAGCTGGCAACCGTGAGCAACACAATTTTTGGCTATGCTCACCATCAAATACAAATACAGGGGTTACAAAACAGCCCTGTTCAAATTCAAAATTGTTGGGTTTTTTTCATTTTGGTTTCATGGTACATTTTTCCACATGTGTGATCATTTTGTATTTGTGCAATGAAACCAACGCAGGGGACAAAATTCCAGAAAATCATGTTGATTGATACAATACATCTCTCGGATGCTCCTTAACACGTCATCAGCGATGTAACCTGAAGTCCTCGGGTGTTTTGGATCTTTCACAATCCGACACCTTCTTCCAGGCAACCCAGCCATGGTTGATCAGACCCGGCTTGTGTTCAAGGGGGGCTTTGCTACCCCCCCATGAATCTCTTCTCATAATCTAGAGCCATCTTGAGGCTCTGGATGGGTCGTCTCCTCTGGATGGCTCCAGGTGATGCCCAGTGCACTCAAGAGAATAGAATGATTGACTTGCAAAACCTCTACAGCCAAAAACTATGGTCATACACTTTGCCTTCCACTTTGCGGCAGTCTGAGACCAGTTCTTCTTCCTCTCGTGGGCCTCATCCAGGCAGTCCTCCCATGGCACAGTCAGCTTCAACAGGATAACGGTTTTCATCACCTCTGAAACCAGGAGGATGTCAGGCCTCAGGGTGGTTTTGACAATGCGCTGGGGGAACTTGAGTTGTTTCTCGAAGTCAACAGACAGCTGACAGTCTTTCGCAGTTGCCAGGAGTCCTGTTGAGTTTCTGGCTCCTCCGATGTTTTGCAACTGCTCTCCAGCCGTCACGAAGGTGATCGTCTGGGTAGTGGGGCGGGACCGTCTGCTGCTGCTGATTCCCACGCAAATAGCTTCCGCCATGAGTTTCAGAACCTGTTTGTGGCGCCAAGTATAGGGCCCCTGCCCAAGAGCTACTGGACAGCAGCTCAGAATGTGCTCCAACGTGCTCCTGCCTGGGGACTGCGGGCAGTTGGTAGACTCAGTTTTTCCCCATATGGAGAGGTTTGATGGGCTGGGCAGAATGTCGTACACCGCCTGGACAAGCAACTTGATGCGCTGTGGCTCTGCCCGCCAGAGATCTGTCCATGTGACTTGTCAGTCCATGGCCTGCTCCCACCTTGTCCAGGGACCCTGCTGCCTCAGGCCAACAGCTCTACGGGTCCTTCGCTCCTCCACCGCTATCCTCACTTCCTCCTCACTTACTTTCAATTCCATAACTAATAGAACATAGCCTAACACAGCTGTGCAGCAAGTGCAGTTGGTCCCACCTCCAACATGACGACATTATTGATACAAGGACACACAAACAGAAACCACAGATACACTTTTTGAACACACAAGTAACAATTCTCTGGCAAACAATCAACAGACAGCAGCGGTGCCAACTTCAGCCTTACACGACTACTTTTACAGTGCAAAGGAATCCCCTCAAACGCCTGATGCTCTCTGCAGTTCTGTCAATAAAAAAACGCCCCAGCCACTCTGAGGAAATATATTTTGCCATATCCCCCCACCCCATATTTACTACTATAAACCAAAATCTCATCGCTAGCTGGTGGTTAGATGATAGAGACGCTCAAAAAGGAGAGGACAAACCCTTGGGACCAATCCGTTACTTGAAGAAAAAATAATTAAGCCAAGCATAGTGTATTATAGATGAAAGATAAAATGCAGTTATTGACTACTTAATAGTAATACAACCGGTGGAAAGGTAAAATGCTTCACACAAGATGTAGCACCGATGGAAAAATGGCTCGCAAAAGGACCGTCACTGCCGAATTGTGGGTTCAGGTTAGCCAGTGTCATGGAGCCTAGATGAAATATTTAAAACAGTTATCAAGGGAGGTTTCAAGGCGGCGACTAGACGGGTTGGTGAACAAGTATGTCAATAATGTTGACAAGTTCTCTCCGGAGTTGAGATTGATCTGCAAAACAAGGTCAGGTTATTAAGCTGGCCTACCTTAACGGTTTTGCTAATATTTTAGCCAGGCTGTTATGAACCCATTAGACCTTCATAAGAGTGTGCGACACGTGCCGTTTATCAGTCTACCTCCACCACTGGCAACAATATTACACTGTTGCTCGGAAGCAAGGACAAGGCTTTCGGAGTGAGCTGCAGTGTGCGATACAATAGTTGTCTTTTTGCTTTTCTTGGAGTGGACGTAGCAGCAAATGCAATGCAGTAGGAACTGTGAAGTGAGCGGATGTTTTTTTTTTGTTTACTTGAACATAAACT